TATCATCTGAGCCTTATTCCAACTATTTGCGGTCGGCTATACGAATCTTGTCTTGCCATTACACTCCTTCAACGGCCATACCCTTAGTCAAGCCATAAGTCAGACACATCTCTTCTTACTACTTCTATGCATGTCCTTGAGGGCATACCCCTTGTCCTTATAACACATCTCACTTGAATCAAATCACCCCTCTTAATCAATGTTATTCTAGGTCGATTTTGCACATGGTCAGACTCTCTTAATCAATGCTATTCTAGGTCGATTTTGCACAAGGTCAGTCTACCTAAGTGTGACCATAGGTCGATGTGGTTCAAGTGGGATGCTCTAAAAGGGCAAGGGGTATGCCCTGATAGACATGTATAGAAGCAGTGAGAAGAGATGTGTTTGACTTACGTCCTCACTATGGGTATGATCGTTGAAGGAATGTAATGGCAAGACAAGACTCGTATAACCGACCCCAAATAGTTGGAATAAGGGTCGGATGATAATGTTCTCTTTTAGGGTTCCTTTCTATCTTGTTACCACTCACTAGCCTTAGCTGCTTGCATTTTTTCCAAAATACCCCTATGAACAGTAACGTATGAACAGTACCGTGAATAGAAAATATGAGAAAACAATAGAATCCAAAAAAACCTTAAATCCTAAAACTAAAAGCAAAATATACATCTCTTAAAATTAAATAGAAATTAAAAAATAAATATAATTTTGCCCTCCATCATTCTCCCTTGATTGGAGAAAACACGTCCTTGAGTTTTAAAATCTCTAAGATGAATTTAGCATCAAAACTACATTCCTCAGCCTTGTTTGTTGGCTCAAATACTATTTGTCGTTAAAACAATTCTAGAAGAAACGTATCCTGATATGTATATTTAGGAATTGCTGCAAATGTATCAAATTCCGCTATATTCTTAAGCTCCAATTGAAAGTCCTATAGAAAACTTCAAATCCAATTTTATGAACTTCAAATCCAATTTGCTGTACTTTAAAGGTTTTCTCAACATTTATTTCATTACTCTCTAAAACCTAAGCCACAATTTAAAAATTATGAGTTGACCACACTTCCACTGTGCTACTCTGATTTCAATGCCGTAAATCTCCTAAGTGCTCCACCACTTTGATATCCTTAAGATTTTCATCTTTTTTTGCGTCAAAGATCGGTTCACCCAAGTAATCTTGATCATCATCATAGGTTCGATCTCTTACAAGACCTTGTTCATCATCTAAGTATGTATCAAAAATTGGTTTGCAGATCCCAATCTACAACCTACTGATATTCAATACGACCTATGCCAAAATCAACCTCATTCTCCTTCAAATCATGTAGATAACCTAAATCTAGTGATTTATTCTCCTAAACATGAGGCTCCCAGTGTGGAGCGCGTGCATAGAATGGGTGGTCGAAGGCAGCTTCATCATTCCACCATCTCTGCGTCAGACTCTGATTCGCACTATTCTCCATGAAAACCATCACGATTTGGATTATCCCTGTAGATTCCTCTTCGTTTAGGGCACATTGTTGTTGTCCTCGCTTGTGCAGCAATAGCTCTGTAATGCTTTCATCAAGTTGTTGATTTCCTTGCGCTGTTGGATCAGCATCCCCATGGCTAAGACCTCCACGACCAGCCATCACAATCTCGAGCCGCCTTTGAACCATGCTCTGATACCCCACTTGATTCAGGAAGGAAAGGTACAAAGTTAAATCCACCCTTTTCTTGAACATTAAACAAGCAAAATCAACAATAATGGCGAAAGAACATAGTTGTAAATCAAGCCAAGAGAAGAACTTTCTTCTTTGATAAAATAAATTTCAATCCCGTAATATATATGCCTTCCAAAATATAACATCACACCTTTTATGAGCCTATGAAACCCTAATTTAACTTGAGATCTAAGTAAATATTTAAGACTCTAAAATGCCCCTAAAACAATATTAAAATTCTAAAAAGACCCATATGATATGTGCAAAAGTAAATATTTGCAGATGGCCTTTATGCAATCCATATATGTAGGAACATTAACTCTATTTATATCTTTTAGAAGTAAAATACTTAATAACTATTTCGATGGTCCATGACTAGGCCCAACTAGGCCAGCCCAACCAGCTTGAATTTAGGCATGGGCCATGTTAGTTATGTTGCAGTTTAAAGACCTTACGAGAGCATGTACTAATATAATTTTAGTGAAATATTGGCTCCAGTTGGAGTGTTGTCCATATTGGACTGTGCGACATTTCTAATGCCAAGACTCACCTGAGCTTTGACTTGCTATGGCTCAAGGTAATGTCTAAAACCCTTGATGAGGTTAGAGTTGTGCCCAGGGCAGTTGGCCAGGGGATTGGATGTGACCCCTGTGTGTGATAGTTGGCCAGAGAAGACAGGGGCCAAAATCCTCAGCATTGGCATCACATGGCATATACACTAGATAACCGTCCTGGAAGAGGCCCTTTGGATAAGAATGTGTGTTATGTACTTGTGATGACTCACTACAACATCGAACTGTGTTGGAAGGACCCATGGAGCATATTGCTGGACTGGGGCCTGGATTTGTCCGCAGGGAATGGCGTGCGATCCATGGACTAAGATCATGTCTCTTTCATTTATTGGCTGACTTTGATAGTCCAATCCATAGTTGTTGGAGGCGGGAGCAGGAGCGATAGAGGGATTGGGAGTGGGATTGTTTTGAGATTCACTGAACCGCCCTATAGTGGAAGCTCCCCGGGGTTAGGATTGGCGTTCGTGCAAATGAACAAAACAAGGAGCGAGATCCTTAGGTTTATGGGAGCTAGATCCGAAGTCAATGGGTTCGAAGTTTTGATTAGCAGGAATCTATGCTCCACTACAAAAAAAAATGATGTTGTAAGTAGAGCTAGTACAAGTTCCATTGGTTAAGGAATCGAGGTTTAAGTATGTCATATAAAGGGGTTCCTCCTGTTCTAATATCAAGATTCTTAAAGTATAGGAATCATGGTCCTCAAATGATTGGTCCGCGTTCTGCAAGTGCCATTTATCAGGAATCCCTTATCAAGTGCCCCCCTCCCTTAACAATGGAGTTATTTATTTTTATGTGAATAACAACATATTAATTATGTAGATTTATAAGTCAGTTTTTCTTATGACCATTACATCTTCTGGCCATGACACAAGTTTGGCATGCACCATTCCCTCTGAATCCCCAGTAACCTAGAATCCTACCACTCAAGAGTCATCTTCTTCAAATGTATTCTCGTCTGCTTCCATTGTTTGTCAAAGGCTGGCTCTCTATAGGGGCAAGAGGACATGATGAACTACTCTCTCTCTCTTTCTCCCTCCCTCTCTCTCTCTCTCTCTCTCTCTTGTATTGTTGTAAAAGAAGCTTTTAAAAACTTGAAATGGAAGCATATATTCTCATCTCACAACTGTAATCAGACTTAAGACTCTAAAATAATAGGACATCATAAATATAGTAGGCTTAAACTACTTAGGCTAGGGGGTTATTGTCCCTCACAATTCTCATCAACCTCAGGGGTGTAATTGATGACATGTTGCTAGCTTATTCTCGGAAAGAAATTCTTCCATCTGCTTTCGCATTTGGCTTATCGGAAGCACTCAAATTCGCCCACGAAAAAGACAACCGCTTTGTTTTATGGAAAACGTTTATATAAGGATGCAACCTTATAATGTAGAACTACAGATGCACCTCAAAAATCCATCAGAAAAGGTAGTTTTAATGTTGAAAAACCCTTTGATTGATCATCTCGACATCGAGATGTATGACCATGAAAGATAAAAGACTAAGTTTAAGAAATAGTGCATTTTGCAGCATATTATCTCCATCGTCCATTTTCAAGATTTTCATATGTTTATAGATCTACTTGATTTTAACCATTTTTTGAAATTTAAAATTTTATAATTAGATATAAAAATATATTTTGAGATAATCCTAAGAACATTTTACATCAAAATTATAAAAATTTGAAGGTACACCTTACCTCTACAGCTACGGATGCATCCGTATGCCAACTGCACCCATGTTTTATTGATTTGTCTTCGTTTAGGGTTTGGTGCTTGGTGGTTGATCATCCCCGAGGCATTATTAGTTCAATGTTAACCCACCCACCTCCATCCATGGCTACTTTTTTGAACAATGATCACTTTTGATACTTCAATGTTAACCCACCCACCTCCCTCCATGGCTAATAGGTTAAGTCAAAGGGGAGTCATTACTACCAAGTGGGGCATTGCAAGGCTGTCTTTATTTGGAGAGTTTGAGTGTTTGGAACTTAGATTGGTGTTCTTGTAGCAACAAATTGTTGTTTCTGTCGAGGTGGTCGGACTAAGTAACTAGGTTTTTGGGATGGTTTTGGAATTGATCGGCACTGAAGGGGGCATCCAAGCTTCTATAGTTCTTTGATATGTGTGGGCAGGGTTGTTTGTAGGTACTGAGGGTTTCTCAAATTTATGATGTTAATCGATAGGAGTATTGGATCATAGGGATAATGTTAACAGCAAGCGGTGGAGTTTAACAGATTACGGGATTTCTAGGGAACAGGTTATCATGCAAAATGTCACCCTGATGAGCGAACTTTGTTACTAATATTCCAGGGGTCTTGGTGGTTCAATGTTTGGTTATTTCATTTGTGTTCATCTACCATTTCTTGTGCTTTTAGTTGTATGCTTTATTGTATGGTTTTGGATTCTGCTCTAATAGGAACTCCTTGCTGAAAATTTAAGAACTGCGTACTTTACAAAAGTTGTTAATTTGATGCTGTCCATCTGGTGAAATACTGTTGCAAACAATTAATTGCATCCATTTTTTTTTTTTACAATCCCCTCTATTGGTGGCTCCTTAAGAAGGAATACTGGAAACTACATAACTCACTGTCCAAAGTTGTGTAGCATATTGTGTTTCAAGTAATTTATAAGAAACCAACAAGTGCTCCGTTTATCTCAATGTGTAGATTGATCTCCCAGTGTAATTCACCATAGCTAATTCTATTAGATATCAAAATTTATGTATTTCAGTATGCAGATTGCAAAAAACCTTCCTCGAATTTGCTTTTTCTCTGGTTTAAGTGGGGAGGAGATGATGATGTTCATTGATTCATTTCCTGAAACTGGTATGATGTAATTTTCTTTTCTTTTGAGTCACAGTTCCTTTTATATATATTATTAAGTAGCTGTGAAACTTGGCATGCCTTTATGGGAAATTCTTATTAGACTAGATTTTTGTTGTATCTGTTGACTTGTGCTTTCTTTAATTGTGTTTTTCTCTAGTAAAATCTCTCTCTCTCTGTCTCTCTGTCTTCTCTCTCTCTCTCTCTCTCTATATATATATATATATATATATATATAATGATAATAGATCCTGTCAACCCATGGGCTGACAGCTATAGTGTCAACCAACGGCCCAGATTCAATATGAGCTCAATCCCATTGTCATGACCTCAATTCGAATTTCAATTAAATTTTTTTTTATACGAATCTAAATCACTTGAAATTTTTTAGTGTCTATTCTTCAAAAATAGGAGAATTTAAGAAAAATATAAAAAATAATTCACGAAATATAAATTGAGCCCTTGAAGCTTTTGGGTGTATTTTGGTCAATTTATATTTTACAAATTATTTTTTTTATATAATTTTATTAGCGGTACCTTGATTAGAAGAATTAATGCCTAAAATTTCAATTGAATTGAATTTGTATAAAACAAAATAAAAATTCAAATACAAAATAAAGTCGTGACCATCAGATCGGGTCAGATTCAATCTGGGCCATTGGCTGACAAAATCCATTCCAATATATAATGGCTTTCTCCCTTTCCCTTTCTCCTCCTAATGTGATCTCTCTCCCTCTCTCCCTCAATGTGGTTTCTCTCTTTCTTTCTCTGTCAACGTGGTCTCTCTTTTACCTAATTTTGGATGTTTCTTTCTCTAGGTTTGTAAAATCAACCTATCAATGGTTTTTTTTTAATTATTCATGTAATTACATGAGATAATACTATATAAGTTATGTTAATTCAGTGGTCATGATGGGCATAAAACGCCGTTTTTTGGTATCAAAATTACTTGTCTATCTTTTGTTATTTTTCTCTCTTTACTACATACGTCTTCCTTACTCTCAATCAGGTACATGTCCTTTGCTTTTTCCTTGGTATCAATATTTGTGACAATTTAGTTATATTTGGTACTAATATTTTTAGTAATTTAGCTATTAGTGTTTTCTCCATGGAGCAATATTCATTAGTTTTAGTGTGATTCTCTACTGAAGAAAGGTTAGTACCTACCTGTCCACAGAAATTTTCAATTGCAATATTTTTCTGGTGTTATTTACCATTGGTTGAAGCATAACACAGTCCATATTGAAGGTAAGTCATAGCGATTCCCTTTATTTAAATTTTTCCATCTTCTTTGGTTGTCATATTAATGGTAAGTCGTAGTAGTTTTATGTTTATTTTTTTGCATTAACTATGTTTGTATTCTTTTAGGTGTTTTCCGTGTTTTGTACATTATCTTATTTTGCAAATGTTCTATGTGAAGTAAAAAATAATAAACAAAAATTACAAAATATTTAGAAAAATTTCAAATTTTTACTCTACTTCAAAACTTTGATGTGTTTTCCTCATAAATACTATTTTTTTATGTTCGCAATGTGAAACATATTAATCTTTAAAGGTCAAAGAAACCTTGCTTTTTCCAAGATATGTAATTATTTTTTAAAATATCATAAGCACTTGTTTTGAATTAATTTGTACATGATCTTATTTTTAAGATGTTATGATCCCATGGTCTGAAAACCAACTTCTACAAATCTCTTTGGGAAGACAAGAAAGGTTAGTACCTATTTTTCTACATTGAAATTTTCAATTACAATATTTTTCTGGTATTATTTACCCTTGTATGAAGCTTGACAAAGTCTATATTGAAGGTGAGTCATAGTAATTCTTTTTACTTAATTTTCTTTTCTATTGTCTCTGTTCGTATTTTTTAGGTGTGCATATTGAAGGTTAGTCAAAGTAATTTTTTTTTCTTTTTTTCGTTCGTATTTTTTAGGTGTGCATATTGAAGGTAAGTCAAAGGATTTTTTTTTTCTTTTTTTCATTACCTTTGTTTGTATTTTTTAGGTGTTCTTTTCATTCTGTGAAGATTGAGAAACACATTCATCTTTGCTTTTCCCAAGGTACATAATTTTTGTTTTAAAATATCTTCATGCCCAGCCCCAACAATTTATGCTTCTAACTTAATCCTAAAAAATGAATTATTTTCAGTTTTAGGTTAATTAAGTAGTAATAAATTATTTTTCAATTTTAGGCCTACTACTGCAAACTTTGATTTTCTATCGTTGTTCTTCCCCATGGCTTACCTTTGATGCTTTTCTCTACACAGGCAAATCATATAATTTACATGGGGCAGCTAGAGGTGAGCTTATTAATATTTTTTTAAATTTCCTATTTCCTTGCAATAGTTTTTCTACATAATTTTCAATGAATACATTTTTTCCCCAATCCTTCACATATGTTGGAATGGTTGAAAAACGGCAAACTGTTAAATTGTTGACAAAATAGGAAATTCTCAATGAGCATAGATGCATACTATCAGTACATCTCTAAACTTTGTTTTCTTGAAACTAGACCTCTACGTGAGTACTTAGTATGTTGAAATATATTCACTAATTTAGCATTGAAATTATAATATGTTAGTAAATTTACTCTTTTTATGGTAAATTATAATATACTATCTTAAAAAATAATATCAATACAAATAATCTTTTAATTGTTTTTTGTAATTAGTATAATCAAAATTATGATATATATTAGTAAATAGATTATTTTTTGTCAAAAAAATTTGATTTTCTAACATTGCTCTTCCCCATGGCCTACCTTTGATGCTTTTCTGTATACAGGCAAATCACATAATTTAGATGGGCAGCTAGAGATGAGGTTATTAATATTTTTTAAAATTCTTATTTCCTTGCAATAGTTTTTCTATGGAATTTTCAATGAATAATTTTGTCCCGAATCCTTCACATGAGTTGGAATGGTTGAAAAATGGCAAACTATTAAATTGTTGACAAAATAGGAAATTCTCTATGAGTATCGATGCATACTATGAGCACATCTCTAAACTTTGTTTTTTTGAAACTATATCTCTTTGTGTGTATAGTGACTATGTTGAAATATATTCACTAATTTAGCATTGGAATTATAATATATTAGTAAATTTATTCCTTTTTTTTGGTAAATTATAATATTTTATCTTGAAAAATAATATTAATACAAATAAATCAACTTTTTAATTTTTTTGTAATTAATATAATCGAAATTATAATATCTATTAGTAAATAGATTATTTCTTGCCAAAAATATTTGTTGCCTAAAAGACAAATAATTATATTTTATTATATAAAAATCTGAAAATAATATAAGATAATATAATTCAAATTCTAACATAATGGTAAATAAATTATTTAAGGTAAAAAAATATATTTTAAAAATAATGTAATAATTTTATTTTTATTTTTTTATATTGTTTATTTTTAATTTTTTGCAACTTCTAACATCCACAACAAAATTGGAAAACAATCTCTGTCACTTTTATTTATGCAATTTTATTAAGTAAATATATTTAGCTTAATATATTAATTATAATTATTTGATACAATATTCAATTTTAAAGATTCCTCTATTTAAAAAGCTTTTACAAGTATTTTGGTAGCTGCAAATCCTATTTTATCTCCAATAGTATATCTGATTTATTTATTTTTATCATGGTTTTAAAAAAATCATAATTATTTAATAAAATTATTCAATTGTGAGGATAAAATTCAATAATCTCTAAAACCATGTTTTATTGAAAATATTTATAAATAATAAATATGTTTCAGTCATCAATATTAAATATCAGCTGCGTTGGACGTGCATATTACTGGTTTCCATTTGGGGGATGATTATTTTTAATGCATGTCATTTATGGGAACTTCTATTCAAAGCAAGATGGAGATTCTGAATTTCATGACGTTTCTTGTTTTGTTAAGAGGACCATTCCGTTGCTCCATGCTAAAATTAGATCTAGTCCACCAACGTCTACCTTTGTCTATGAGAGTGTGCACCATGAGACCATGTCACAATTGTTACTGGCCATTAGATATACAATTGGGTAGCTTGGAGGGTATCGAAAGGTTTGAGAGTTTATTTTTTGAACTTTTAATGACACTCTCATAATCACCCGATTTGAAATATGGCGAACAAGAGTGATTGTGACCTTGTACAAAAAATAAGTGGTCCATTTGTATACTTTTCCTAAACTTACATATAAGACAATGAGTAAGAGAAAGAAGGAAAAACATTTAGTGAAATGTCATTAATATATTTTTGGATTTTATATAATGAAACCATTTACCTTTGATACAGGATGGGCACAATTACTTACAATCATCCGATATGAAATTTGATAGCTTGGATGTGCCACAAAATTCAATAAAATTTCTTTTGAAGTTTGATCTCTCTTTAAGAAAGCCAAATTGCTCCTCAAACCTTGGAGCCTAATGATTTTGTTCCTAGTCTAGGTTTTGGAGCCTAATGATTTTGTTCTTAGTCTAGGTTTTGGATCGATGTCCAGGATATTCCCATCTATAGTTGTTGGAAACGTTTGTACGATTCGGATTTGAGAAAAATGATTCTCACTATTTCGGATTTGAGAAAAATGATTCTCACTATTTTGGATCAATTCGGATTTGAGAAAAATGATTCTCACTATTTTGGATCGATTCGGATTTAAGAAAAATGATTCTCACTATTTCGGAATCATGATTCAAAAAATTAGAAATTGTATTTCCTATTTGCAAGAATCGATGTCCCTTCATGTTGGAATCACGTTTCATACCTATATGGAATCACACATGACCCCACTTTATACTATATCAAAGGTATAAATTTCTTTTGTACCCAAGGTAAATGGTCTCATTCTATACTTTCCCATATCTTTTATACGATACCGAAATTTAAAAATGTGCCTAGTATTTGAAATTTTATGTTTATCCCCCACATTTATTCAGTGCATGCTTTGTATTTAATTTTATTTTTCTATATATCAGATAAGTTGAATTTCTTAGTGTCAATGCTTCTCACGATGTCGCGCATCACTACCTAGGACATGTTAAAAGTACAAAAAAATAATTTGAAAGAACCATGAAACTTGTAGTAATGTTTAGTCATCTTGCTTTTATTGATGGCTACTTTTGTGGGTGCATCAATGGAGGGTATT